GCCAAAACAAAGTCCATACTGATTGACTTCCAGCCCATAAGGTGTTTAAGAACTAGCCAGTGCGCGGTCACACTTGCCGAGGTTTTGACCCGCTGGCACGTCTCACATATGCGCACATTAAGGCTTAGCTATTAATAGAGTTTGGGCCAATAACAACCCTGGATAACTAAGCCTAATGTATTCTCACAAGCTGTACAAATTTTGAGTTTCATTGATCGCGTGTTTCGGTCTGCCACCGGCCATGTCTCTGACAGAGACTCTCGCTCCACAGGTAAATTTTGGAAGTCCATCTTCAAGGTGCTCGGCAACAGACAATTTATGTCTACAGCTGATCATCTGCAGACCGATTTTCGTACTTAGCGCGTTAATCCTGTCCTCGAAGATGACCTACGTAGCTTCTGCGCTGATACGTCTCGGCGTTGGTACCATATTCTCTTTATCGTCGAGCTTGCAATGAACAATGCCGTCCATAACAAAACGGGATATGCTCCGTTCTACGTGAACGTTCTCACCCTCTTCCGCGTTCCGTTATTGCTCCCGCTTCTTGGTGTAGGGCTTGATGAGGGGTGAGTGTTAGGAATGAGTGGCCTATCAGCTTGCTAATGTTAGCCCTGCTGCTATATGAAAACAGGTAAGCAAGTTCCTAACAGCGCGATTAAATCTCTTAAGACATGTGCGTGACGCAACGACTGATAGCCAAGATAAAAAGATGGAACAAGCGGATGCCAAAGGCATAATCTGTGTTAAAGCAAGACGTTACCCACCAAATCATACTTAACGCTAAGAACACACTTACACATGTAGTGTCTGCGGTGTTTTGGACGAAGCTGCGTCCTCGCGTCATAGGTGTACGCAGTGTTTGTACTGTAGCACAACAAGCCGCTGTCGGCAGAATATCAATTTAGCCTCGCACGCGAACGTAACGATATTTTCGTTTCCGAGTCGTTAAACTCATTGGTTTCAAGGTCACGTTGTAAAGATACACTATATCTATCTTTGACATTCGATGCATGATTAGGTAAGTAATTTACGATCTAAAAAATCGTATCATGAGCTAGCGCATAGTCAGAACGTCGTGACAGTGCATAAATTAACGTTTTCGCCTCCCCGGCTTACTTTTCGCCTCTAATTACATTTTGCAATAAATAAAAGCCAAAAATTCATTCTCTGCGAGATGAAAGGCGATCTGTTTGCTGTGCGTACAGACGCACAATCGATATAGACTACGAGCGGCTTAAAGCCAGGCAGAAATATTCTAAATTCGAAAAAATTATACTTCACGGCAATTAGTTCATTGTCGCTAGCTAAATAGTTCTTTTTAGCAGGTTTAAACTGAAGGTATTTGAAAGGGATGACATGCTCGCGTCCTTGAACATACGTTTGTAACAGGGCACACAGCCAGCGTCAACATTCGAAGCGCTACGGACCACAATGCAAGGCCGATCTGAATTTAGAAAAGCCAAAATTGGGGTATGAGGGGTACCCTCCTTTTCTTCGGTGCTAGTACAGCACCACTTTACATCCTTTCTAAGAAGATCTTATAATGGTCAAGCCATATCAGCGCAATAATGCCTATACTTGTGCAAGTAATTGGTAAGGACAAGCCACTTGCGCAGATCCTTCTGATTCTTTGGGAATTGACAGTTCAGTATGGCCTTCACCTTTGCGGGATTTGCCCAAAGACCTCGCTTCCCAAGGGAGCATCCAAAAATGAGATCTCTTCCACACTTAAGATACGTTTTTACGCATTAGCGATCATATATCTGTGGTTATACACTCAAGCAAAGCTCGTAAGTTGGCGATGTGTCTATTTACATTTGACCGACCCTGTTCCGCTCGGCTACGGAAAATGTGTCCTTACAACAGTTTGTGCATAAGCACGATGATGGAGGAATTGAGTCACCAGACGAAACGTTTAAACCTAGCCCGCGTATTGAGAAGCCCTTGAGGCATACCTAGCCACTACCAAAGCTTAAATCGTGAAGTACAAATCGCTGTGAGCGAGATATCACTTACTTGCATGAGCAGTTGATACCATCTATCGACTTGGTCGAGTGCAATGTACCTTGTACATCCTGACATTTTGTTCCGAAGAACGTCTTTTTCGAGAAGCGGTGTTTGTTCCAGTGTAGTGGCCACATAAGGCTTATTATAAGCATGCGCAATTGTCACGTACCATTGGGCTTTTTGACACAAAATGTCGGTGCGGAATTAGGAGACCTCTTTTTCGAACGGTTCCCGTCGCGTGCTTAGCGTTAAAAAATGTCATTGACCTTACAAAGTTTTTTTGGAAAAGGCCGCTGCCGTGAACCAAATTTTTTGGTTTCAGAAACCAAATAAATTTCATGATGTACGCCTCTATCGGGAGGTAATGCAGACGGCGGATTATAAAATGCCACATCTTTTATCTACTTCATCACAGATAGTAGGTATCTGAAGATTTTTTTTTCATAAATGGATGATCCACCAAGTGCCGCCTATTTCATATCAAGTAACGTCTCTTTCAAGAGAGACGAAAAATTCAACTCATTATCGGGTCTAATGACGACCCTTTCGGATAAGTCGCCTTCCTTTGAGGCATATATGAACTCAAATACAGACATTTTTTCTAGATCTAACAGATCATTTAGAGATGTGAATACCGCAAGGCCAACTAAACCATCCACGCGACCTTTCACTCTTTTGACAAATTCATACAGCCGATCGCTAGTATCGCTAATCAAAATTACATACACCTTATGTCTCGCAGCAGACATGTGGAGTCGCTGCCGTCTCTGCAAAGAAATTGAACATCTCAATGAGGACGAAACATTTGATCCAACAAGGCGATTACATTTTTCTGCCTTAGCTTGATCTATACAAAAGCTGATTTTATTACCAACATTTAGTGCAGAGATAAGTAACTTGCAATGTTCGCCCGGAAAGTTATCCGCCACTAAACATGCATCAGTGGAGCCATATTCTTGATACCGGGGTGTTTTTCCAACAACATCATTACCAACATTCAGTAAGGCGCTATTGCAGCTGCCTTTACTCTGTGGATGTTTAGTCGCCACTGCGCATACAATTGTAAGAGATCACACCCTAAATGACTCAATTAATTGTCATCAGTGTTACCAGCATTCAGTGGTTTATTGTAACAACAAGTGCCACTTGACGGAGCCGTTTCACTATTGATATTGACATCACGATCAAATAACTCAGAAATTCCATTTAACAGCACACTAGCTGACTATTTTAGTGGCTAGCCCCAATAGCTCTTTGTTGTCTAACAAAGGTGAGTTCATGACTTTCGAAAGCTTTACTCGAAACATTACGCATTGCTACTAATGCCTTGGATGTCCAATCAAATTATGGATCATGGCTTTCCAGCCAGAGCATCCCTATAATAAGATTGTATCTCGAGTCGATATCCAGGACAAGACAACGATCATTACTATCAAAGTCTAAAACCTTTTCACCTAAGCTTAAAGTAACTCAATTTACGGTAAAACGGGTCCCAATTGCTAGACGCACCGTGATAAATTCGACTTCCTGCGCTTTCAGCGCCTCAGCATATCGCTGACTCTCATCAATGAAACGTCGTTTGAAATAGTTCAACGGTGCCCCAGAGTCAGTCAAAATTTACCAAGGCTTGTTTAAGCCCTTAATTGCTCCCAAGGCGACCAGAAAATATGACTTGTAGCCACGCTTTGTGGTACCGTCCACGAGGTCGTTTGGGGCGAAGCCCAGCTCAAATTTACCTCCTAGAGCCTCTACCAAGTCTAGTTAATCCCAATTAGAACGCCCTGCGCCAACAGGGAGTAGTTAGTTATCATGCGTTGTACCATGTTCTGGTTTGGAACGGTATTACGGCTCTGTCTATTCTATCTAGGTTTACGCAGTGGAAATTTAAAGCGAAAATAACTTGTGCTTTACACGTGTAATATCTATGGAAGTTTACGTTTCTGTTCCACAGCCTGTATCTCGAATGATTGATAAACCGGAAGATTGAGATCTATGGAATCAGTCATATTTAACAATTGTTGGGCACGCCCATATTTACCGTAGAGATCCGCTATAAAAAAAACTCGGATGTGCACAGCCTCCCCAAAGGCTGAGGTATGCTCATAAAATTTGGTCCGAGCAACCCTTTAAGCATGGAACTTCCATGAAATTAGTCTCACAAATTCTTTTAGGAAAGGAATCCAACTGCATAGCAGCTACAACAGTTCTTAACGCTCGGACATTATCCGATACCTCCTTCCCTTGTCGGTGGGACAGGGCGAAGAAGCGTGGACGCACTCGATTAGTCTGATAAGACGGTGCAAGCATGCGAGACATCTATCGTTTAATCATACCCACATGGGGAAAGTGGCGTCCACATACGCATCACTTGTCATATTCCATTCTCTGGCTCTGCTGCTGTGATTAGTAATGTGTAGGCTAATGCCCTTTTGCTCGGTTTGAAGCATAACGGCTCTCATCGCCATCTCGACCTCGTGATAAGGGGCTTCACCTATCTCTTCAAATGTCTTTACGCTCAGAACGAGCGGGCAAGCCTCAGGCTTCTTATAAAGTAAAGAAGATGTCAAATGTCGGCGTAGACGGCCTTCCGACTGTAACGGGGCTAGAACAACCCTTACTTAGCTTACACTATTCTACGCTTTGAGGAATCCTCAAAGCCTAAGTCTTAGTTATCAAGCACTTTTTACTCTGTTTTATATTTTGTCTTTTGATCATTCTAAGTACGATTGGTTCCTTTGGACTCATGGGAACCACTCAATCTACGTGCCTATATCTTACTAGCTAATAATGGTGCTGAGCCCATTAAACCAGCTAAAATATACGACGTGCTACTTTCGCTACTTCGAAAGTAACACCCCAACTTAAGTAACACGTAAACTTAATCGAAACTACTTATACAACGGGGTGGCCCATTACATCGCCCCCTTCTCAAGACAGCACTCAAGAACCGTGAGTGCTCAACCACAAGACCCAACGGACGCACAAGCCAAACGATGACTGAAGACGCATACGACAACACCACAGCACTCCCACGCACTGTCAGCGGGAGTTCAATTGACCACGTGATGGATCAGCACCTGATCCCTTGGGCGCTGTACGACTTGTACGGAGCTCGAGCTCCGGACTATCTTGAGACGATGCAGAATTACTTTCGGCGTTTCCGTGGATTGCGTGGGTAGAGTCTTGATGGTATCTCGTACGTCAATCCAGCGGTCTTGGTGTGCATTCATCCGACGGTGGAACCGGATGCTCGAAGACGGAAGCAAATTTCAGCAGTGGCTTGCCAACCGCGAAGCTATTCACGCCGATCACTCAATCGGGGTACTGCGCGAGAAGATATGCAAGAATGCGTGGAGCGTAGATCGACTCTGCTACGTTCACGTGCACGAATTTTGTTACTCCTGTGACTCGATGCCTCGTCCAACTCGCGAAACTTGGCAACGACACGTCGCTGAGTATCCACTCAGCGAATATGAACAGCTTTGGATTGGACGGTATGAGCGCAGTTTGGTGGAGCTCAAGACCGCGGTTAATCGTGGCGCATCACGCTCGCGACACCACTCGCGTTCTCGAAATCGTGGTGCCACGCCACGACGTTCTCATTCGCGTGGTCGTGGCGATACACGTTCGATACGACGTTCTCGTCGTCGTTCTTCATCTCGTCGTCGCGGTGACGTTTTACCACGACGACCTCGCAATCGCTCTTGGTCTCGTAGCCGTGGTGACGCTTCACCACGACACATTTGGCGTTCGTCTCGTTCTAGCTCCCCGCGAGAACACTCAGGTCGTCGACCAAATCTGAACCAAGCGTATGCACGGACTCGTAAGCCCGAAAGACGTCTGGAACGACTCGAAGAAGCGAAGAGCGCGGCTCCCACGTATCCTGCTCGGGTGGAAACCCGAGCCAACGTACACGATACTTGCGCGCGCATGAAGTCGCGACGATGTCGTTTCGCGACGAGGGTCCTCGTGACTCGATAAACGTTCCAAGATTCAGCGCTTCTGACCTTTCGCTTCCACAAGCAGTGGTGCGCCCTCGCGAAGGTACTGCTGGCGTCCTGGTTTCCCCAGGAAGATGAAGACTCGGCTCTGAACAAGGCTGTCGATGCCCAGCTGGAAGCTGAAGCTGCCCTTGATCGAGCTGCGCGGGGTGAGAGAACAGCGAGCGAGACTCGGCAGTCGAACCGCAAGGTGCTTAAACGGATGCGGAACAAGGAACGCCAGGTTCTTGGGCGCTCGCAGGCTGGGACGCAGTCGCGTCCGATGTCACTGGCGAGTCGAGCAAGGCGAGAGGGAAGGTCTACCTATGAGCCTTTGAATCCGAGGACGGAGCCATTCCGTGAAGCGAAGCTGGACTATACTCCTTGAGACTCCTGACGTAAATAGTTGGGTGAAGTCGAAGTGACGGAAGGATGTCCAGCGTGTACGCGTCGCCGATCGCCTTGAGTACCGTAAATGGTCCCATGAAACGTGGCGCGAGTTTGCTTGCACCGAGTTCGGTTACTGCTGAATCTCGTAGGCCTTCAGTAGATGTAAATACACGATCAGTCTTCTTGGATGTACTCGTGTTCTTTCTGCCCCTTGTGTCTGCTTTCGCTTTCTGTTTATCCACTGCAGATCGAAGAGTATTGCTTACAAACCTCGTGATGGATTGACGTTGGAGTATAAACTCTGACACAGCCATGTCATCAATTGGTCGCGCCGATTCAATCGGCGCGTAGTTGGCTTGAGATCATCGCATACCCGAAGAAGGGTCAATTAGCGTTTGTGCAGTCCATTGAGCTAGCGGGGAAGCCACGTCACGTGGCGTCAAAACAGAAGGCTCAACCTTGGATTGGGTGACAACACTCGCGCTCAGAATTATGTGAGCTGCACTCGATCGTTGTTTACCAATATCACCCCCCGCCAGAGTGAAGCCACGTAGAGCCGTGGTTTAAATCACGGCAAAAAGAGTAGGTACACGATGGTGACGGGCCGAATTTGCAAAAAATGGCGTCAACCCCGTTAACGCGTGAACCGCGTTGTTGAGTGCAAAATCCGCGAGTGGCGAAAATTCACTCCAACGCTTGAAGCAAGTTGCGTGACTTCTAAGAACATCTTCGAGGACCCGGTTAACCCTCTCTGTTTGCCCAACCGTTTTCGGATGGGCCGCCTGTCGACCTTTGCAGCTTTTTGCCAAGGAACTCGAACAATGACGTCCAAAAAGAAGATGTTAGACGAGGACCACGGTCCGAGACAATGTTGTCTGGTAGACCGTGATGGCGAAACACAGTGTCAATGAAGTGCACCAAGGTCTCAGCCGCGGTGATCGCTGCATCAACAGCCACCAGATGCGTCATTTTGCTGAATCTGTCCACAAAGACCAGAATACCCGTTCGAACTTGGCATTTTGCTGAATCTGTCCACAAAGATTATAATAAACGTTCAATCTTGGCCACCGGGTGCAAGCCCGAAGATAAAGTCCATTGAAACTGAGCGCCAAGCCTCAGCTGCAATTGGCAGGGGTCACAGGGGTGCCTGCGAAGATGTAGATGGCTTCACGCGCTGACATATTTCGCAGGTGCGAACCCAGTTGCGAACCCATTTGTACATGTGGGGCCAGAAGAAGTCACGCGAGACAGCCGCGAATGTCTTTTCGCGGCCCAGATGAACGCCAATTGGGGCATCATGGTACTCGTGGATGATACGAGCTCGCAAATCCAGGTCATTCGCAATCACCGTTCCAGGTGCATCGAATTTATCGATGCTGTATAACAGCAAATTACCATCTATACTGCATCGTTGAATGTGTTCACGCTTCGTTCGCAAAAGAGCTCTCAGTGCAGCATCACTGGGAGCGCGCAGATAGGCAATAACGTCCGCGTAATCCGGATCGTTCGCCTAAGCCGCGACAATTTCATCGTAAGGCATATCTCAGGTGTGACCCGAGTTAGATTCAATGACACAAACGTCGCACATCGATCGTCTTCATCGTCGTCGTCAGTTGCCTGACGACTCAGTGCCATACGAGGATCAAAATCTGGACGTCGTGACAGTGCGTCAGCAAGCATGTTAGTCTTGCTTAGCTTGTAATGCACGACGAAGTTTTACTCGGATATGAAAAAAGAGCCACCGTGCCATTCCTTGTGGCAGGTGTGGGCTCTTCATCGCTGATTGCAGCGATGCATGATCAGTATACAGGGCGAACGTGGTTTCGCCCAGTAGGTGGACACGAAACTTGATGAGTGCGTAGTGCATAGCTAATAGCTCTTTATCGTGGACTGGATAGTTCTTTTCCACCGGTTTCATCTGTCGCTTGGTAACTCACGACTCTTTCACGGCCCTCATGATCAAACTGCATGAGGGCGCAACCAATTGCAAAGTCAATTGCATCACACACCACGTGAAACGGCTTGGTGTCGTCAGTGAGTATCAAAACTGGCGCCAACACCAGGCTTTTCTTCACTGCGTCAAAGGCAGCTTGATGTTCGGGACGCCACGACCACGTGGCGTCTTTCTTCAGAAGTGACGACAGAGGCTGTATAGAACCGGCGTAATCCTTTGTGTACTTATGCATGTAACTAGCTAGACCGAGCTATTGACGCAACTCCGTAGGAGTTTTGGGTGTGGGCTAAGAACAGATTGACGACACCTTCTCTGGATCGGCTTGAACTTTCGATTTATTCACGTAACAGCCCAGCACCGTAATCTCCGGTGCTTAGGATAAAAACTTCTTCAAGTTTGCATACAACGTTTTATCCCGCATGACTTGAAACACCTGCTTCAGGTGTTGAAGGTGAACTTGGACAGCAATTAGGTTTCCCTCAGCGCGCTTATGGACGAAAATGTCATCGAAGTAGCTAGGAGCAAAGTCTCGAAGCGGTCTCAACACTTGAGATATCATGCGATTGAAAGTGGCTGGTGCGTTCTTCAATCCTTGTGGCATCACCAGCCACTCCTATAGCATACTACTTGGGCTGCTCACCGTTGTGAGTGGTATGTCACTCTGTTGCATCAAGATCTGGTAGAAGCCATCGGTCAGATCGATGGCGCTGAAGATGACGCTACCTGACATGTAGTTTAAAACCATGTATTTCCTGGGGACAGGCCTTTGGACAGGAATAGTGGCATCTTTTGGCTTGTGAAACGCATGCACTATACCGTAGCCTCCCGTAGCCTTCTTCACGCATAAGGTTGGACTCGAATGGGGTGAGACACTCTCACGCACATGACCGTCCTTGCGACGACCTTTAGAAAATGCATCAATAGCCTCGAATTGTTCTCGAGGCAACGGCTACTGGCGTGTCACACAATATTCGATCCTGGCACGAGATCAATCTCGTGCCGCACGCCACGATCGGCAGGGAGTTCAGCCGGAATCTTGTCCGGGAACACGTCGGCGTAATCTCGAGCAATGTCGTAAATAGGGTTACCAGACTCGCGCGGGCCTCCCAAGATTGCGACGCAAATCTTTCTTCGCGCGCTGACTTTTGATCAGCGCTTCGAGGGCGCGTCATTCGCTCCACATTCGGCTTATAGGTCACCTCGTTTGTGACCAGACATTCTTGTTCCACCGTGGCTTACTTGAGGTCGCGTTGAAAATGCTTTTAGGAGATTCCTGGAAGGCTCTTAATCGACGACGCGTCGCAAGGTGGACTCGCGACCTCAATGTAATGGCGCCTTTGTGGAATCCCGTCCACGTACACAATAGTGTGGACACATTCCAACGCTATATTCTCGTAGCGTGCTCCCAATCGTGCTTCGAGTCCATGCTCGAAGCTGGAGAACCGCAGTCAGGTGTTAAATCTGCAACCCCTCTGGACGCTGGATGTCCTCATCCCGGACGTCGAAACTGCGCGAAGGGAGTAGTCCATACTCGTCCGTCGACGCATGATGCGGGAGCCCCTGCTCGACCGCCACAAACTCGTGTGGGAGCCCCTGCTCGACCACGTCTTGCTCGTGTGGGAACCTCTGTTTAACCACATTGAGCGATGATGAGAACCAATGTTCTACCATCATGTTTGCACGTGGGGACTCTTGTCCATCCACGTCACACTCGGTGACGACCCCTTCTCGGCCACATCTTGCCCTTGTGGGAGCCTCTGCTCGACCACAATGGGTGCAGGTGGGAACACCTGTTCGTGTTCGACAGCTGCACTATTGTGCAGGAACCTCTGTTCAACCGCGTCGTCTTCGCGCGGGAGCCACTGCTCGTCCACGTCGGACTCCTTGCTCGAGGAGATATCTTCACTCGTGCGTAGTTGCACGGAAAGAGCGGTACAGAGAGGGCCATCGCTCACTCTGTGTACCGCCGGTGTCGTGGATGTACGATCCACAACTGTAACGTTCGGCCAATTGCTTGGAGATACCAAGAGATGGGTAAACAATTCGCTGACGTCGAACTTGCTTCGACGTCTCACTGATCTGGCTAACCAGTCGACCTGGGGCTTAAAGTGTGCCGACCATGGCATGCCCAGGATGCAATCGAATGCATAATTCATCTCAATCACCAAGAAATTGTCGTTACTGCGAAAGCCTTCAAACGGGTACGGCAACGACAGTGCGCGTCGCAATACGCGGCGTGGTTTCCGGTCAGCGAGCTTACCAACAACATGGCCAGGTCCCTCGTGGACCTGGATGCTGGGTGGCAGCATTGACACGCAAGATTCACGGAAGAAATATGTTAGTCGCTCCTGAATCCAGGAGCGCTCGTAGAGGTTGCCGGATACCGGCGACATAGAGATTAACAATGATCAGTCGTGAATTACCACTCGTAGTGGTGGCATTTGACCGTGCACGCAGCACAGATGGGCTGGGAGGTCGGGCTGCCAACGGTGGACCTGGACTTCCATTTTAGCCAGTAGGGCGCCCTGCACCTACTATTGTGGTCCGTTTTTTCGACGAGTTAGCGGAGCACCTCCCTCATGATGGGTGTCCATCGCGTGTAACGACATAAATGCTGGCGCGCGGCATTCAGCCACGCGATATCCCGGCTTTCGGAATCGAAAGCAGATCATCTGACGTCCGATACGGACGTCGCCCTTGTAGAACGTAGCGCGTCGTCGGTCACCCAACGACTCGATTGCATCGATCTCCATAGGTTCCGGGCCCGCTTTTTTGACAGCGGTAACAACTGAAGGCTTGGTGCAGGCCTTGGTGACACTGAAGTACTCACGGAGGGCGATAGCGAAAGCCTCCTCCAACGTGGCAGGCTCCGCGCGTTTCAGCAATAGGCGAGTCTGCCCTTCACGCGTGCCATCGACAAACACGTTCACTTGAGTGTACATGTCCATGGGATGCGTGATGATGCACGACGTCAGATGTTGAGCCATCTGCACGTAGTCGCGCATGGACATCTTACCCTGTCACAAGGACAGGAACCTTGAACGCACCGACTTCTCTTCCTGTGGCGGCTCGAAGGCGAGGCGAAGGTCACTCTGGATGGCTTTCAGAGTGGGGAACGCATACTCTTCCACAATGAGTTTACTCAAGGCCCACTACTTGGCTTTTCCAGTGAGACGGGAAAGGAGGAAGTTGACCTTCGTCTGAGGAGCATCGAGAAGTCTCGAGGCGATAGCGATGTCAGCCTCTCGAAACCAACGCGACAACGACAAGCGTTATTTTCCTTCGCCAGAGTAGGCGGAGGTCTCCATCTTCACGGCATCGTTCCGTGAAGTCCGCGAGGTAGTTTAACCTCGCCGATTGGATTCGACGAGCTCGCGAGCCATGTAGTCATGTATGGCGAGACGCTGTCCATCAGGAGTCGCTGATTTCATCAGCGACACAGCTAATGCCTCTCCAGATATCGCCGTGAGGCGATTTAGGGCATCACACTCAACACCAGTGAGATGGGAAAAAGTCACGTGCTACAGACTCACGTCTCGAGCGTCAAAGTACGACGAATCGCTATTCCCAAACTCGGGCATGGGAAGGTTTACGAAGTGCTACCAGAAGTAACGGGGCTAGAACAACCCGTACTTAGCTTACACTATTTTACGCTTTGAGGAATCCTCAAAGCCTAAGTCTTAGGTATCAAGCACTTTTTACTCTGTTTTATATTTTGTCTTTTGATCATTCTAAGTACGATTGGTTCCTTTGGACTCATGGGAACCACTCAATCTACGTGCCTATATCTTACTGGCTAATAATGGTACTGAGCCCATTAAACCAGCTAAAATATACGACGTGCTACTTTCGCTACTTCGAAAGTAACACCCCAACTTAAGTAACACGTAAACTTAATCGAAACTACTTATACAACGGGGTGGCCCATTACACCGACGCTACACGGTCATGTAACTATACGGTAATTGTGGCCTCGAATCGCTAACGACTAACAGCCACGCGTTAAGCACTTAGGGCCTTGATCCACAACATCCTTAATTTGTACTATCTTGATGAACGCGCTAAGCTTCAAAAGCGCGAGGCTCTTAGCCTCATAGAGGTGAGCTAGGAATTTCGTGTCAACAGAATACATTTCAATTTGTGACTATGGTGTAGGAGTGACTACTGTTGATACTAAGTGTAGCGTATCTACACAGATCTTAGTCGTAGGAAGACCTACGACTGTGGAAGTCACTTCGTTCTACGGAACAAATTTCCTATAAGTTTAGAGAGTCTCTAGTTATTTTAATTGATAAGAAAAGACTCGCAGAGTTTTCGCGCTTGTAGAGGTTCTGGTTCCGGATCAGGGGGCTAATGTTGATCTTAAGAATCGTACGCGCAAGTTTCTCTAGAGTATTTACCATCAGAATTCTCTTACTCTTAGCGATCTACTGACGTCTTGATTAGACACGTGTCACTCAAAGATTAAAAAGGAAGCTGAACTTTATTTAGTTTTATCTGAAGTAAACCCCATTCAACTACCAATACTAAGGTTAATCTAATCCTCACAGTAATTCATAGTATCCCAAGAGGTCGACGGATGATGCATCGATGTGTCATCGATGGATGACAAAGGTTATCAAACCCATCAATTATCAGAGATAAAGATTTTGGGGACTGTTTATCACACTTGCAAGGTGTATCCTTTCTGTTATGCATTATGAGAAATTGCAGAAATGCAATACATATTTAAAGGTAGGGTAAAATGCATACAAAAGCAGTGCCCTAAACGTTGTATCACGTACCGCAGTGAACAGTAATCGTCAAGCGGCCAAGAAGAGTCCAAGTCGTTAGCCCGTCGCTATTGCCGAAACGCAAATTATGTAGTGGACGATCATAAAACGGTCAGTGTCAGCAGGTGCAAAGTGCCCTACTAATACATCCAAGCCAAGCAGATTTACAGGCCTCTTGACGAGAATTGCTTCCAACACGCAATCATTGTGTGTTACTGCATCTGGTAATGAGATTTAACTCAAGATCTTAGAACTCGATGTGGCAAAGAACATGTCACTACTAGACCTATTCGATTGATGGTCGTCATAAGATACGATTCGCAAACATACAGCAAGTCACCGTAGTCTTTGTTAATGGAGAGACCCAAATGATTTCGATTAATATTGTCTACTTGCCGAATTGCTCGTTCTATCGACTTCCAACTGAAGATAGAGGATCATTCACGTATTTCATCAACAAAATTTGGGTCAAGGATGACGGTGGCGTTATGGGTCATATATGAACATCGCCAATATCCTTGAAAAAAAAGCTTGTATATATTGAGCGAGAGATCCCTCATACGAGGATAGTGGTGCGCCTCACGAGAGGCGCATCCGTTAAATTAATTTAAAGTGTATTAGAGATTTTCTATACACTGAAAGAAGTCCAATGCGACGTGAACTTAACCGTATCAGACTTAGTTGACATTTTTTAATTATCAATGGTTTAATGTGGCTCAAGAGGTACAAGCCATAAGTCAGCCGTCACCGACGAAGTGTCCATACGCCCGACGCTTCTTCGCCGGACGGCCATCTGATAAACGTCTTGGAGATTCCACCACCAATTGGATTTGCATGGATATATTGCGATAGCCTCACGTGTGATTAGGTCGCTAGTAATACTGCACAAGATTGCAATATGACTGACCATCTGATCGCATATTGCGGAGCACGTTCCCAGCGACAGAATAACAACGTAGGAAGCGATGAATTTCCACCACTTAAATTAGTCAAGAATACCGAGGCATTTGTCTTCTTAGTGGACAGCACCCTGATTATGACCGATAGATTGCCAAAGATTCTCAATACGTAGATGAAGTAGACCAAGAGGCTATGAAACTAAGTTCCCAAAGAACAGTGTGAGTAGGGTCTTATGAGATAACAGAGACAACGAATATCCTTCTCAATGATAGACCAATTATATGTATTCATACACTTGGTCTGAATGCGCATCCGAAGTTACTTTTGGAGATTGCTCAGTAGCCCCCACTGAACCGAAAGAGGTTCTTACGTGATCTTCGTAGTGGAAAAGTCAAGACGATCTGCGTTTTCGTCGCGGAAGATAATTACGTCAATGACATAAAATCGGCAACGTACGTTGCCGAGGATGAAAGAATTCTCAGCAGAGCATCAGTGGACAAGAGTGTCCATGATGAGAAGACGTAAACTGGCCGATAAACCCTCCAGCGTCAGAGTCGCTCAAAGCAGATTCTCTCCACAAAGATTTGATTGAATTTAAATATGTTTTCGCAGAAGCATAGCCGTAAGAGATACCCAAGGATAATGGCATTTGTTACTAAATCGACATGAAAGCGAATCGACGTCCTGTATCATGATATAATGGCCACTGCCTCGCGAACAAGTTTTAGCAATCGACAAGTTCTCTACAGTGAGCTTAGCAGCCGGCCTTGTGAGGGAGTAGACCTCCCCACATAGCTCTCCTTCCTTCTGTGTGCGAAAATCCACAGGAGGATGGTAAACAGTACACGCCTTGAACAAGTTAAGTGCTACAGCTGTACAAACCCGAATTCTAAAAGACGTCATTATCGATGATATGGCAAAGCGGGCCATCTTTTCATCGATGAATCTGATCGATAAATTCTATTAGATCCTTATGCTAAAAGGAACATATCTCACACTAAAGATAAATCCGATCGATAGATTCTATCAGATCCTAATGCTCACAGGTATATTTCTCATACTTAAGATAAATATGATCGATCGATCCTATCAGATCCTAACGCTCAGGGACATTCCTCATACTTCAGTAAGTGTTGATTTCCGACCGAAGATGCACTTGCGGCAAAAGGAACAAAATCAGAATTGTGTTGTATTCTGTGTGAGCTTAACCTTCCCTACCGTTATTCTTGTCCTTCCCTACAGTTATTACTTTCTTATAACTACACTTTGTTCAACTGCTCCCTGCCTTTGACGCGTCCCGTCGCGTCTCCTTTCCTGTAAACCGTCGTCACAGCTCGTCTCCTTACCCGTTTTCTGACCATCATCAAATCCATACACGCGCGGCTACGTCGCATCTACTTCTATCAACAAGTAAGCACTCAAGCGGTGTGCCTTAGGAGTGTCTAGTGATGCCACAAAGGCTGAGTAAGACACCTGTCACATTCAACATATTTGCGACATATCTGTTGCGATACGTACGAGAATTTCCTCCCAGATACTTTAATGATGTGTTCATCCACACCCGTACTACGGAAGGACAGACGAATGTGGAAGTACACCAACTTCATGTCCAGAAATCTCTTACACGAATGCGCAAACGTAATTTTACGCCTACCTCAAGAATGGTATATACGCTGCTAGCGAATACCACTTCTCTGTTGCAGCATGGGTAAACATGTCGTTTACCCCGACCCGGAAAAATTGAGGCAATCACTGACTGGCCGGTTCCTGCAGATGTAAAAAGACTTTCTAATTTCCTTGGAATAGAGGCGTACGTGCACAAGTATTGACACGATTTAGTTGAGATGAGTGTTCGTCTCTCTTATTTATTAAAATAATAAATTGCGTATGTAGTGACGATTGTCAGCGCTTATTCAAAGGTATCGCGGAATCTTTATATGATTGACAGTTTTGAAAGTTGTTAAGACAGGCGATTTCAAGTGGTTTTTAATGCTAGTGACTTAATAATTTTCTGTCTATTGATGCAGAACGACAAATAAAGTGCGTAACGTGTAGTCTGCTGTCAGCTAAATCAGCTGAGAATAGCTGAATGTTACTAACCCGTCTACGATAAGGAACTCCTTGCCTTGAAGTACAGGCTGGCTAATTTTAAAGACTACAGTTTAAATTATAGAACTTTATCGTCCATACGAATCATGTGTATTCACAAACTGCCGTAAACAGTCCACACCTCTTGCAGCGGAGGACAAGGTGGTGTCATTTTCTCGTAGTAAAACCTCTCTGTACAGTTTAATCCAGAAAACGAAATGTTTTTTGTTGATGCATCTTCGCGCCGGTCC